TAAAATAAAACTGTTATCGCAGATAGCACCTAAACTAAGGATGATCTAGGCAAAGTCCAGTTCATCATGGAAATAGATGAAAACCTACAAATTCCTTTACTAGATGTGTTAGTCTGCCGATAAAACAAAATATACAGAAAGAAGACACACACTGATCGATACCTACAATACAGATCCAACCACCAGCCAAAACCAAAGCGCACGGTTACCAATACCTTAATAAACAGAGCGTTAAGGATATGTGAACCAAGACACATCAACGATGAAATGAAACACCTAACAACAGTGTTATAAGCAAACGGATACAGTAAAAAAGACATAATCCGTGCTACGCGCCTAAGGGAGAATAAGATCAAGTCTAGTGAAGAACAAAACCAAAGAACTGTCTATTTACCGTACGTAGAAGGTGTTACTGATCGATTTGGGGAAATCCTAAAGAAAAAGAAAATCAGCACTCTCCCCAAGCCAACAAAGAAAATAAGGGAATACCTCAAAACAGCGAAAGAACGCAGAGACCCCCCTCACATCTGCAGGAGTCTACATAATTCCATGCACTTGTGCAAAAGTATACATCGAATAAACAAATAGAAGCATTGGTACAAGAATAACAGAACACAAACGAAGTTTTCGTTTAGGACAAACAGAAAAATCTACAGCCGCCCAACACACATTATCCGATGCAGAACACAAGATCATTTTTACTTTCCTATCTGTATACAGATATAAGGAAAGTATAGGAATCATGATTTTTTTCGACCTCGAGTTTTCGACGGATTTTTACGTTTTGAGGTCCCCTGAATCCGTTTTGACTATTTTCGCGATGATGTCTGTGTGTGTGTGTGTGTGTGTGTGTGTCTGTGTGTGTGTGTGTGTGTGTCTGTATAACGCATAACTCATGAACCGATACACGGAAAAACACCAAATTTCAAACTTAAGCTTTGTTCCAACGTCTAATGAGCTGATTAGATTTTGGGCAGAGTCGGAACATCTGGGGGGGTACTTTATAGGTGGTCATTTTTATATTTTATAGAATATATCTGTTATTTACGTTTGGGGAAGAAAATTCTTCAAATGAAAGTTACTTCTTATTTTATTATCTATAATTTTTGTTATATTCAAAATTTTCCTAAAATGGTCCGTATTCGCGAAATTTGACAAAATGTAAAAAAATATTTTTTTTTATAAAAATTGTTCAAACAAAAGTTGTTTGTAATATAATTCTCTATAATTTTTATCCTATAGATAATTTCTCTAAAATGGGCCGTATTCGAGATATTTGAGAAAATGTGTAAATTTCGAAATTTGAAGAAAACTCAAAATGGATAAAGAAAAAAACATTAAATTTTAAACTTAAGTTTTATTTCGGCCTGACGTAAAATGATTAGATTTTGGACAAAGTCGGAACATCTGGGGGGGTACTTTATGGGAGGCCGTTTTTATATTTTATGGAATATATCTGTTATTTATGTTTGAAGAAAAAAATTGTTCAAATAAAAGTTACTTCTAATATTATTATCTATAATTTTTGCTTTATTTAAAAATTTCCTGAAATGGTCCGTATTCGAAAAATTTGACAAAATGTGCAAAATTCTGATTTTTATGAATATTGTTGAAATATAAGTTGTTTGCGATATCGATCTCTATAATATTTGTTTATACATGATTTTTTTAAAATGGACCGTAATGGAAAAATTGTAGGAAAAGTGCCAAATTTAAATTTTTCAGTATTTTCATTTTCAATGAATATCTATAGAAAAATGTTTCGCGGTAGATGTATGTATGTGGACAATGTATATATTTAGTTTATCCTCTAAACATTTATAGAGATGCTGCAATAGGTTGTACAAAATAACCGGAAAAAGCCTGTAATACCTAGATAGGAAAGTCATGTGTTGGACACATCAGATTTTTTAAAACATCGACCTACTAGTAATATCAAGACATTATTCGACCAGATTGCACTTGGAGGCTAGAGGCGGAAATTTATTTATTTTTTATTTATTAATAAAACTCAAACAGGCCTTACGGCCTTTTAACATGAGTAGTACAATACATAATATACATAATAATATACAATATAATCATACATACATTATGACACTTTACATTTTTACTTGTATGAATGGGTTTGAATATCAAGACTACAAAGCTTCACAACAATTAGCAGAAACAGCATACACCGTGAACTTCCGCAGACTTTGCATAAGATGAACAAACTGGAAAATTCCAAGTTTCAAAATTTTCAGATAAAAAATGTGGTCCCTTCCACCATAAAGAATTATTAATTAATTCTGAGGGCAGAAGGCCACGAGTACCTAAGTCACTTGGATTAAGGGATGATGTCACATGATACCAATTAACAGGTAAAAACAATATCCTGTATAAATGCGACTCTATTACTTACAAAAGTTTTCCATTGATGCGCTGAACTTTTAATCCAACTAAGTACAATTGTACAGTCAGTAAAAGCAAAAATATTGTCAAAAAAAATTTTCTCTTTATAAGACTCCATAACGAATTTAATTAATTTTGTCAATAGCACGGAACCACACAGTTCCAATCGGGGTAGTGATAATTTCTTTAAGGGTGCGACTTTTGATTTGGCACAAATAAAAAATGATTTAGTACTACCGTTTTGATAAGCAGCTCTTAAATAAATTACTCCACGTTCAGAAGCATCCGAAAATCCTATAGAAGAACACGATACGGCAAGGATGACCTTTATAAGACGCGGAATTATTTATAGTATATTATTAAACGAGCAAATAATGGCCATAAATTGCGAGTCTAATACTATACTTTGTCCACGACCATTATGGTTTCTTTATTAAATAAAAGTTAAGTGTAGAATGGAAAGTTTTTATTAAACATAGGTTTTTTCAACTTTTCAATTTTTCAATTTTTCAATTTGTCGATTTTTCGATTTTTTGATTTTTCGATTTTACGATTTTTCGATTTTTCGATTTTTCGATTTTTCGATTTTTCGATTTTTCGATTTTTCGATTTTTCGATTTTTCGATTTTTCGATTTTTCGATTTTTCGATTTTTCGATTTTTCGATTTTTCGATTTTTCGATTTTTCGATTTTTCGATTTTTCGATTTTTCGATTTTTCGATTTTTCGATTTTTCGATTTTTCGATTTTTCGATTTTTCGATTTTTCGATTTTTCGATTTTTCGATTTTTCGATTTTTCGATTTTTCGATTTTTCGATTTTTCGATTTTTCGATTTTTCGATTTTTCGATTTTTCGATTTTTCGATTTTTCGATTTTTCGATTTTTCGATTTTTCGATTTCTCGTTTTTCGATTTTTCGATTTTTCGATTTTTCGATTTTTCGATTTTTCGATTTTTCGATTTTTCGATTTTTCGATTTTTCGATTTTTCGATTTTTCGATTTTTCGATTTTTCGATTATTCGATTTTTCGATTTTTCGATTTTTCGATTTTTCGATTTTTCGATTTTTTGATTTTTTGATTTTTTGATTTTTTGATTTTTTGGTTTTTTGATTTTTTGATTTTTCGATTTTTCGATTTTTCGATTTTTCGATTTTTCGATTTTACGATTTTACGATTTTACGATTTTACGATTTTACGATTTTACGATTTTACGATTTTACGATTTTACGATTTTACGATTTTACGATTTTACGATTTTACGATTTTACGATTTTACGATTTTACGATTTTACGATTTTACGATTTTCCGATTTTCCGATTTTCCGATTTTCCAATTTTTCGATTTTCCAATTTTTCGATCTAGAAAATATCGTTATGAAAAGTATCGCTCATCTTTAGTTATCTACCGGAAATTCCCAGAATTAAAAAAGCGTAAATTATCATAATTCACTCAGTGATATATGGGTACCATATGCTTTTAGTTAGCAGGTAGAATATTGATTTATTATTAAGTGGTCGTGGACAAAATAATTAAACCAACATTAAAAGGTGAAACATTAAATTTATGAACTCAGAGCCCCTATCATTACAGTCCGGAACTACTAAGAAAATAATTATATAATTTTGGATATATAATATTCATTAAATTTTAGTATAACCTTTTCAGAAGCTAGTTCCGAATCATCAAAAGAACTTCAATAGAAAGGAAGAAAAACAACATTCCCTAGGATCTGTCACATATCATTAAAAAGCGCGAAAATAAAACTGCCTAATACCAGTCACGTCAAAAAAGCGCGCACAGACACGCATATAAATACCACACTCGCAGCGAAGGAGGATTCAGTTTCAGTTGATACGTCGAGAAAAGTACTTTGTCCACGCCACTTAAGATGCCGCAGTTGCAGCTGAAACTTTTGGTAGTAATAACCAAAAAAAGACCACGGAATAACAATCCGAAAACAAACATACATTAATTTATTCCAAAATGTATCCAGTACGATTCAGTCTAACTTAAAATATATTCTTTTAAACACAGTTCACGCATTCTCAGTATTCCTACATGTCCTCTACGATGTTTCCGCAAATTACTCGTATCCCTAGCCCGTTGAGCCAGATTTATGAAAGTTCTTAGACTAAGATGAGCTGTATAATACCGATGCAGCAGCTGCACTTTGAAGACACTCGCCAAAAATTAGCAACATATCTACAAGCTATAGTTGTCATAATTTACTATAATGAACAATTTAAATTCACTACTTCAGATAAACACGCTACTGAAATCACACGCGACTGAATTACAATAATCGGTATACAATGAAGCGCCATTCATAGGAAAACAAAACACAAGTGCCAAATTTATTTTTAATTCTATATCTTTTTTATTTTAAAGTTTTTTGAAAAAAGTTATTTGAAGAAGATGCATATTTTTAACAACTTCTGTACACAGTTAAGAAAAAGTATCAACTTAGGATTCACCCTGTATACATAAAAATACACGAGATACCGACATGATACCATAATATCTAAAAGCATAACTTTAACTCTAAAGACCATATGTCTTCCCTAAACTAATTGACTAGATTAAATTCGATTTTAAAAACTTACCAACATCACACTTGTCACTATTCTGTGACACGCAGCGTCCCTTGCTGTTGACCTTCCAATCGTCCAAGCAACTTATACACGTTGTCTTGTTACATTCGCTACATCCCGGAGGACATTCTATACACTCTTTCTGTAGGAAATCCGCATAATGATGGGCGGGGCATTCTTTAATGCATCGTCCTTCGTGCCAGTACCGTCCGTACGAGCAGGATATGCACTGGGAACTGTTGGAACCGGTGCAGGTCTCGCAGGATTCATGGCATGAGGAACAACTGAAAACGAAATTAATGGTAAAATACAACAAAAACGATTCGATTTTAAATTTTGCTTACCCGTAGTCGTCGGTTTCGTAAGTGCTTAGCGGACAAGAGGCCAAACATTTGTTTTGGTATAACAGCAAATGGTGATCGCAGCTAGTACAATGGTCAGGTCTGTCTTGACATCCAGCACAGTTTGGTTGGCATGGTATACAAGTTTTATCAGCGAAATCTATAATTAAAGAAAGATAGTGTTTTATTGAAAGTAGAATATAATATTTTCAACGAAAGAGATTGAAAGTGGTAGGAATATTATGAAAAGGATTGAGGGAATTAGACTGGAATACTACCAAAGGAGGTGTTGAGACAAAATTATGGTACCAGATTAAGTGTAGTCCGTAAATGAGAAAAGGTCTGAAGATTATCTTCTGAAGAAAACACGCAAAACGATTTATTTTATATTCGACCAAAAAACATTATAAGTCGCTTCTTATTTGGTGCAGAATAAACAATTAAATATTACACCTGAAGAGTTAGGTAAAATAATACTAGAAAAACCTAAATTTGTGAAGTCTTTAGACTTGGATTTCACTAGCTTATGTCTATTCATAAAAGATATCTGCAGGCCTCCAAATTTAACAAAAGAAAAAAAAAATAAATCAATGATATCACAAAGAAATTATGTGTAATCCAAAAATGTACAAAACTCAATGGTAGCAATTGAAAGAACATAAGAAAAGAACAAGAATTTTCTTATGATTTTATATCTAGTTTTTTTTTTGTAACTTACTTTCATAGTATCCTTCTGGACATTGTTGTAAACATATATCCAAATCTACAACTTTCACGTGACCTGGAGCGCACGTCAAACAACTCTTCTGATCCGGACCTGTACACGTTTCGCAGGCTTCATGACATGGTTGACAAACATTTTGGGAGTCTGAGTAACTCCTGGGTGGGCAGTCTGACACGCATGTCCTAAAACAATAAACACAATAAATAATAAATCCTTACAAAATATTACTATACCTAATTAAGTAAATAAATGTATACTTACTTGTCCATTCTCTTATTTCTGCAAGCTACACACTTAGTACTACTCCGTCCAAAGCATCCTTGCTCGTCGCATTGGTCGTCGCAGTTTTCTTTGGTTTCTTCGTCGTTATCTATGCCATTTCCTTGGTTATCCCTTACTTTAGTATTTTTCCCGTCCAGGGAACTGATTACAGCCTCCGGATCAGATCCAGAAAAGCTATAAACGTTGGGGAAGTTTTGAAAGTTCTTGAATATGTCCTCTTCAAAAAAGTTGTCAGAGACTTGGGTGACGGGTTGCGAGGGGGTGGGAAAAGTGAATGTATTTAAAGGAGATTTCCAGGGGGTCGAACGGGCTCCGTTGGTGGGGCGCAGACGTACAGGATTGACAGAGGTACCTATCAAAAAAATATGTATTAGTATTACTGCATTCTGCAAATTTAATATTCTTACCATAGAATATAAGTTGCCACTTCTTCAACACTCCTGGTTGGTTGACGTGCCTGTTTCCTGAATTAATAATCTGCAATTTCCATCTTCCTTCGGCCTTTTCACCCCAGAAATGAACGCTCAAAAATGGCCAGTCGTCAAAATTGGAACTTACTACATCTCTAGGACGTTCGAAGAGAAGCGTACTCGTAGTACCCATAGGAGAAGTAAGAAGGATTCGTAAGTTACCTCTCGGGAAGAATCTGAGGGAGATTTTGCATTGGACGTGTTCCAGAAATCGGACATCGTTTAGGGTGCCACCGCAGGCATCTACATCCATGTTAAAATCTAGAGTTGTACCTGGAAAAAATGATAAAATAATTATTGTACTGGTATTAACATTAATGTAGTCGCTTACCATACGCCGGATTGATAGGCCTATCTTCGATGACTTCTTGGCTCTTACAAATATGTTGAGGCGGTACCGTTGTCCATTTTTCAGCTAGTGTAACTAAAGCTCCAGCGTCCATCAGGCCGTAACCAAATTTGTGCGATACTTTTCTTCTCACACCGTTTACTATCCATCCTGCTTCTTTTTCCAGAGGTCCGGATCGTGAAGTCAAAACTACGAGGTATTGCATATCTCTCCATGTGAGTGTAGGGTTGGTCTCTAATGCTAGCGCGCAGATACCAGCGGCTGAAATGAAAACATGGGCGTAATAAAAGGACTACCGTTTTTATTGAAGATAATTTAAGAGACGTTTTTTGGAAACTAATTCTTACCTAGTGGTGCTGACGCTGAGGTTCCGGTGTGTTCAACAGTACAAATATGATCAGGTCTTAATCGAGCATCCATATCTACTGTAGCTACACTTTTATCGTGTCCAGGTGTACCAGAACTGTAAGTCGTTGCTAAAGTTGATGAACATTCTTCGAGATACCAAGGTTTATAACTGAAATGAGAGTAGTATTAGATTCATTTATGAAAATGATACGTATTTTGAAACTAACAAAAATATAAAGTAAACGGTATATTGTCTTTATGGCAGTAAATGAAAAAAAAAAAAGAAATTAAGTTGTTAGCGACATTTGCAAAAGAATAAGAAGATCAAGATATAATGGTAATAGTACTTTTAGATACTTACCCTCCTTGTGTAGCACTGGATATGCTCAAAGTAAAAATACTATTGGTGTAACCATCGCAATTACAAGAGTCCGTATGTCTTCCACCGTTTCCAGATGCCCATACAAAGATAGAACCTTTTCCTTTTCTTCCGCTGGTGACTCCGTAAATGAAAGCTCTTCTCGCTAATGGTCCAGGACCGTCGACTGTTTTTCCGTCGTCTTCTGGACCCCAGGAAGCGCTGTAGATGTCTATATGCTCCGGGTTGAGACCCAGTGCTCTGGCTTCTACTGCATCGTTGACTACGCCGTCTAACATACGTACACCTGGAATAAAATAACGGTTTGTATTCAACGGTTCAGTTCAGTGGTAATATAGTTCAACTGCCTATGCGGGGTCTCATCAAATAAACAAATTCATCCAATATTTTTAATTCGAACATATTGGCAAATAAAGATGGTTATGTGTTGGTAAAAATCTGAAGTAGTTAGGTAAGGAGTTCATACCGGAACGCCGATGCAGCATTAGGTTTTACCAAAAATTCGCATTAGGGAATATGTCTTTTTATAGTTTTGAGTCAAAATAAACCGCTGGGAGAGGACTATGTCATTTACGCAAAAAGTGTATTTTAGCACTGGAAGCGATAAGAAATGGAGCATTAAAGTAGGCTCAAGATTATATGATAGAATATGTGATGTGGAATCAGGCGAAGAATCTCCAGAGTGTACTATTTTCATAAAATACATATACATATTTACAAAATATTATGGATTGAAATTTAAGTTAATATTAAGGCATTTAACGGTTAATCAGTCTGACATTCAGTGAGTAGTTGGTATTGCGAGATTTATTTAATAAAAAAATTCTAGTGGATCAATATTCTTTGGGTATTTTTAAGGATAAATCTAATTTCATTTTTCAGTTGGAAATTCATACATACCATTAGATACCCAAATTGTGTGTGCTATTGATGATTTCGTATGTCTTTTAATCCATTTAACCACTTGTTCATTTAATGGATAATCGAAAAACTAACGTTTTTAATCATTCACAGCAAAAATTTCCAAAACCTAACAGCTTTTGAAATATTTACTCATTCATTTGAAACATTAATTACATTTATTTACCAGCCAGACATTGCTCTCCATATCCATCCATTGGACCGTACGATTAAATTTCCACCATTCTGGATATCAATATTGACTCCGTTTATCTAGAACGGATACACGCTACATCTATCGGTAGCTACGCGTCTGTATCTAACGTGGCATCTATTAGAGTTTAGAGCTGGGGTAGGGCGAATTCTCTTTGTGCCCCCACGTGACATCTGCTTTGTATTGTGTCGTCTAAATTTTAGGAAAATTATTGCGGGTTCAGTTACAAGGTGGTCAATATACTCAATGTTTTTATTTGAATGTGAGATTGAAAATAATATCGAGTTGACTGTCTGTAGAATAAATAAAACTACATGTTTCAATATTTCGTTAAGGTACTTGAATGCAGGTACCAATTTTTTATCTTAATGTGCTTACACAATACGTCCAAAATAAAACAAAAGTATATGAGTTTATTGCCATTTGCAATCCGTTTTCACCACCAGGTTTATTTTAACTATCAGAGAACTCTACACATAATTTCAGGCGGTTTGGGAAAATCTGTGATTTCGGTTTCGTAACTAAAGAACTATCCCGACATGTATCATGATCTGTGGCTTAGTTAAAGTACCTATCAAGTTGAGAATTATGAATTCAGTCTGTTTGTGAATTTTTTAATGGGATCAATTTTAACTCTATAACTTTTCTGTAATTAGTTTAACGGAGTTAATTTTTAATTTGGAGCCAAAATTTGTTATACTTCGTCGTAAAATGTTATTTTTTATTGCTGTTTGAACCATATACGTTATATATTTTCTTTATATTTTGAAAAAGTATAACGTGAAACATTGGTCTCTCTGATTACTGCATGTATTTCTCGTGAATAATTATCAATTTTGAATGGTTTTTTGAGAAGCACTACAGGTTTTGAATGCCCATGAGTAGAAGTCAAGTAGGGATTTTGTGACAACCCTCCACAATTTTTGTTTTTTCAATTACCCGTCACGGTAAACTAGATTAGATGGTAACTACCATTATTTTACCGTTATTGGACCATACAAATATATCTTCCATATTATTACAGTTGGGGCAGATCTTTTTACTTCTGAGTAAAGTTACATTTAGGTTCACTTGACAGATTAACAAACATTAACCGTATAGTTTAATCAGCAAATAGTTACTTTCAACTTTACTCAGAGGTAAAAAGACTGACCCTTGATCTATATACAAAAAAAAACCTGCAAAACAGTTTGTAATATCAACAATTTCGTTTGTTTATCTGAAAAATCAAATAGTTTTATGAGTAAGCGGAATTTATCTATATCCTTAACTTAATAATAAGAACACCGTTCAGTCCTCCCTCATGGAGTTATTAATTGGCGATCGACCGCCGCCTACGTGGGTCCAGTGGTGTATTGTTAATATTAAAGAGTATAGGATTTATTTAGTAAACCAATCAACTTACTTTTCTTTATTTACTGTTAATTATAGGTAATATACACTTTAAGTTTGAAATAATGGTTATGCCGCCAAGGACCTAAAGAAATGTTGAAACCTCTAAAACTGTTTTAGTGATGACTTTCAAAATCCGCCAGGTGACCTCTAAAATCAATTTGATAATCTGTAAAATTTTGCATCCAAACTGGTTGATACAGAATCCCCATTCCAAGAATGTAAACAATGCAAAAAAATCATTGGAGATTGCCAAAATGACTTTAGACCACTAGAAAGATTGACAACAAATGCGATTCACGCCTCACATTCTGCCCTCCCAAAGCAAAAGAGTATAATAGATAAATAAGACGTATCATCTTTATTGACTTTAGAAACACCTTCGATATGAAGACCCCAAATAATGATATACTGGAAATTCCAAAGAGAGACTCGATTGAAATACGTATTGAATATACCAATACAAAAGTGATATCCTAAGAAATTATGAAATGAGAAAATAAGAAATACACATGATAATGAGAATTACAAATTGATGGTCAAGAGACAGATGACGGCGAGGATGTGGAAAAAGTTCTAAAAACATGAATGCCAGATTAGAAAGTAGAAAAGGATAGAAATAATAAAGACAGCGAAAACACACAAGCAACTATACATAATGAATAAAAAAGAATTATCCATCTAAATAAAGAGGAAACATTTTGTACCAATTTATAGAGGAACGTCACTCCTACAAGTATCTTCTTAGTTGTAAGAAATGAACATTGAAACGATGTACCAAACTAGATTAGTCAATACCTCTGGCAGGATAAATTCCATTATCAAGCATACTGGATAAGAATTTAAGAAACTTGCGTTAAACTTCTTCTAATGATTATATAGGTTTATTCCAACAACGATCACAAGCCAATCACTGACACCGGGATTCTGCGCATTAGATAATTTGGCGGTTCAAATAATCTACTGCGCAGATTCCCGGTGTCAGTGAGTGGTTTCTGATTGTTATTGGAACAGACCTTATATGTACTTGATACCGTGGATCCCAAACAATCGATGCTTATTCAAGTTTCGATCTTATGAGCGCATAAATAGCGGTTTTAGAGCAATTTCGTTAAAAAAACTTATTTTTTATAATAAACCCTAAAGTTTTAGAAGACTGAGAAACTATATTATTAATATCATCTACAAATTGCAAACCAGAATCAAATGGAACTCCGAGATCTCGCATCTGCGCAACCCTTGATTAAGATGTGTTATTTATATCTGACATTTATGTAAAACCAGTTGAGCTTGCAACTGAATGTAGAAATTTTACATTTATCCAAATTTAGGAAGAGATTGTTACTTGTACACCAATCAGAGATGTCATTCAATTCTGCTTGAGGAAATAATGTCATTAAGAAGTCACATTAGAGTACATTTTCAAATCATTAGCAAATAATAAATATTTGCACTTTAATGATGTGGAAAGATTATTAATAAATAATCAAACAGCCAAGGTCCAAATTAGACCCTTGAAGAGCACCTGATGTAGGGCAATATATTCTAGAATATAAACCGTTGTAAGCAATATAGTGAGAGAGGCACTAAAACCTAATTTTTTTTAATTTATCTATAATTTTTTTGTGGTCAATCCTGTCATCAATTTGCTGTTTACTTTCCACAGCTTCAGCTATATACTGAGTAATTTCTACAAGATTGGAAGTGGTGGACTTTTGTCGCATGAAACCATGCTGATTGGTTGAACTAAAACAGTTTATTTGGGCATAAATTAGGTTAAACACTGATATCTCTAAAACCTTGGCAAAATTGTTTAAAATCGCTACGGGACGATAATTTTTGATATTCGTGTTAACTCTTTTTAACACAGGACAGACTGTAGCTACTTTCCACGCATCAGGAAATACATACTTTTAGACAATTAGATTAAAAATTTTAAAATAAATAATGGTGCTAAAAGCACATTAGCACAAAACTAGGAATTTTGTACCTTCCAGTTGTGAAATATTTCTTCAGTCTGGAAAATTGGCCATAGTAATATTGAGATTTAATTATTCAAAACAGTTTGTAAATTGTGATGCGTCTTCTCTGCCAATAAGACATGAATAATCACGAACTGTGTTAAATAAAGTGAGATTCTCAGTAACAATGACAATATCTAGTATCCTTTCTAACGAATTTTTTACATTATTAAATCTAAAAAATAGAGATACCAAAAATCATCTAGGTTTTTTGTAACATAATTATTGGCAGAATTGAAGTCACCTAATATCAAGGCTTTCTCTTGATTTATTACAATTTGACTTAATTTGTCTAGAAACTGCTCATATTCTACAGGGTGTTTCAGAAAGATTGGTCATAAATTATACCACATATTCTTGGGTCAAAAATAGGTCGATTAAACCGTACTTACTTATATACAAAAGTGCACCTAAAAATAGTTAAAAATTTAAATGAATTTTTTTAACGTTGCTCTTAAACCGTTTGGCATTTTTTCATGAAATGACGTGTTAGAATATCATGACTAATAATACCGAGGAAGAGGCAATATTTTTTTCTTGATTTTAATAGGTTTTTGGAGGGGGTCACCGCTCTTTTCTCCACTCAACTTTTTTGTAGTATAAAATTTAATTACAAATGAAACGCTACTGGAATGCAACATCCTTTTGGAAACTATTTGGCTCTTAGTATTTGTTTGTAAAAAGTTTAGTTTAGACGATACAGACATTTGAAATGTCAACTTAAAAATATTCAATGGAAATTCTACGTATGAAAAATAT